TGCTGCCTCCCCTGCCTGTCAGCAGCGCCCGCTGCCCTGGTGCTCTGCTGTCGGTTCAGCTCTTTGCTCTGCCTGTGCTGAGAATTTGGAGCAAGAGGAGCTTCACGCATCACCAAGTTTGGCAGGGCTGGCCCAGGCTGCCTCCCACTTCCTGCTGGGCGGGGGTCTCACCTGGGTGTTATCCTCTATTTCTGTTGGCCTCTGCAGTCACAAGGAGGAGTGACGGTTTCTCCCAGCTCAGCGTGTGACAGAGACCTCAGTGGGTGCTGGTCACAAGGCAAAGGCCTTTACATTCCCTCTTTTCTTGAAAGTATTGGGAAGGGACTCAGTAAAGCCCCAGTGAAAGTCAAAGAGAGGAATCCGGTGAGACCCTGGCAGCACCACGCTTTCATCAGGGGACTCCTCGGTGTGCCCGAGGACATGACCAGCCTGCAAAAATCACCTAGCTGTGCACATGCCATTGGCTGTAGCAAATCAGCTGAATTGCAAAGATGGGGTTTGACAGATTTTTCTACCTCTGCAGGGCCTGGAATTGACGTGCTGGCCCCTGATGTCAGTACCAGGGAGCGGGAGATGTCCTGGATAACCAACACCTACACACACACGCTGGGGTACCGGGTAAGCTCTGGCAGTGCTAGTTTGGAGCCCAGGATGTTGTGGGCACTGTGAGACTTCGTGCCCAGAGGCCCCTTGCCAGAGGCTTGGGAGAGAGTGAGGGAAGCTGAGGCTTGGGGAAAATCCTCTCTAGAGGACCTGCACCAGGTAACCTTTGGTCTCCCTGTCCTGGCCTAGCAGGACATCAATTCCCAGGTGTGTGCGACGGGAAAGCCCATCAGCCAGGGAGGCATCCATGGGCGACACTCGGCCACGGGACGGGGGGTCCTGCACGGCATCAAGAACTACATCAACAACACAGACTACATGGACTGCATCGGCCTGAGCCCCGGCCTCCCCGGCAAGACCTTTGTGCTGCAGCTGAGTGCTCAGCCCAGCTAGAGCTTTGTAGAGGACACTTCCTCAGGAACTTTCTGCCCTTCCTTTCCAGGAGAGCATTCAGTCTCAGCTCCTGCAGTGCTGCCTGGACATAATTTCACAAATCTTTCCTCACCCTGTGGCAGCTGGCACTGGTTTGAGCCGTGTTTCAGACTGGCGGATTGGTTTCTAAGAGCCAGTCTCTTAGAAACTTGAATCAGCAGTCCATGGGTGCTGCACCGCTCACACTGCACAGACATTGCCAAGGTTTCCCCGTAGCTATTGCACCTCAGAATGCTCACAAAACAAAGGTGCGACTGACCCTCACCTGTGCAGCAGGTGGAGCAGAGAGATGGCAAGGCACAGATGGGATGGAAAGAGCAGACCTCAGCAACAACATCCCATTCCTGTCCCCTCCAAACTGCCCGCAGAAAGTCACAGTGGTACCTACGGTGAAGATCCTGCTTGTTGGTGCAGCCCCCATCTCTTCTGGCTGCTCTATGGGTCTGGCCTGTGCTGGGCTCACCCTGCCCAGGACCTGGGAGCTCAGTGGAACCCTGAGGGTGCCAGCCCTGCCCTCTCCTTTGCCTGCCTCCCTCCCTTCCCTGCAGCCCAGGGCCTGCTCACAACTGTGGTGAGGTGCTTCCCCCTGCTGTAGCTCCAGGAGCTCCAGCACTTGGCCGGGCCCTGCTGCCCGGATCTGCTGCCCTCTCTGCCAGCAGCTGCGAGGCCACCGCTCTCTTGGAGGGAGGAGTGAGCTGGAAACCCCGCAGGGGAAGCCTCGCCTCTGTGCTTCCCTCCGGGCGCAGCTCCCTGCTGTGGGGAAGAGGCATTGAACCGAGGC